TTTTGTTTTCCACCCCCCCCCCGAGACACCCCCCCCCCCCCCCCCCCGGTAATATCTAGGCACACTGGGGTCTTTGCTTCCTGATCAGCCTCCGTGATGGCACCAGCATCCCCCGCTCACACTACCTCAGGATGCTCTGACTGCTAGGCTTTACTGTGAATTGCAGGAGGCATCTCTTCCGAGGGTGTTCAAGCTGTTCCGGGCCCTGGGCCTGCGGCACTTGGTGGTAGTGGACAATCGCAATGAGGTGAGTGCATGGTGGGCAAGACCAAGCTCTGCTGTGGGTTCCACACTGCTGTGCTTCTCTGAAGGTCTGACAGTGCCAAGCTAGCTGTGGCTCTTAGGCATCTTTGTGGCTTCCTTTCTGCAGGTTGTCGGGATGGTAACCAGGAAGGATCTTGCTAGATATAGACTAGGCAAAGAGGGCCTGGAAGAGCTGTCCCTGGCACAGACGTGACACTACTGGCACTACCCATTGGAAATGCTTGCCGGCGTCCTGGTGTCCCCAGTGCTCTGAGATCGGAAGTCTTGTTTCCTTGGAAGTGATGGAAGGAACCAGTCCCTGCAGGCTGCTGTGTCCAGAGGTTACTTGGCACAGAAACCCAGCCCTTGACTCTTTTGTTCATAGCTGTATTCCTGTTTTTTAATGGTTTTCTTTCCTCCATGCCTTCTGGGCTTCACTACCCACCTCCTTTCTCTGTTTGCCCCAAGGGATCAGATATCAGTAAGTTCCTATTTGCCTCCTCTATGTGCTGATGTCAGGCTGGAGAACACTGGTGTATGAGAGAGCTAGGCAGAGCAGCCTAGAGCTTTGGAGAGCACCACCCAGGTAGAGAGAGTACCACCCTGCGGCAGCCCAACCCATTGCAACCCCTCTTTGTTGGGCTTTGAAAAGCAAAGCCAGGGTGTTGTGAACCAATCTACAGCCTCTGCTGCCTCTGGGTCACCTCTGTGCTATGCCTCTTCTACCCAGGACTTGGCTATGGGTCTGCTCCGCACTGCCACTGTCGTGTCTCCAAGCCATGACCTTGCAAAGCGGAGCTCCCAAGGTCTGGTTCAGCTGCTGGGCTGCCTTTGAATTCCATTGGCTAAGGGAGAAACATCCCTTAATTTCACAGCCTTAGATGTCCAGTCAGGCGGGTCACCTGGCCCTTGTTACACAGAGCAGGCACCTCAGAACAGGCTGTATCCATGTGTTTGAGGGGGCTGGCCTGGGAAGGCATCTTGCTGGGCCAGCCTCTTCTGCGTCCTGTGGCTAGAATCTGCTCTGATGGCCAAACAGCTGGCACTGCCCTGCTGCAGCTGCTCAGGAGCAGCTTGCACAGAGCCACAACTCATCTCTGCCTGCACTGTGGGGCCTGACAGGCTGCTGAGCCCCTTTTCCCATGCCTGCTCTTCCCTGTCACTTCACGTGGGTGGCTCACAGTGGGTGCCTGCTGGAAAGCTGACAGCAGAGGCTGAGCATCCTTGCACCCAGGGCAGAGGGTGTGGGCAAGTGTATGGCAAAGACACTTCCCAGGAAGCAGTAAGGATGCAGTTCTCTTTGGACGCAGGGCAGTTGCCCAGTGCACAAACCTAGGACAAAAACCTCAAACACTAGTCGGACACAGCGAGCCGGGGAGCCTCAGCCTGTTCCCTGTGGGTCCTGTGCTCTGAGTGTGTGGGATGTGGCATAGAGCTTTGGTCAAGCTCCCTAAGGAGTTTATGCCATTGTCTGCAGGCAGCCAGCTCCTGCCATAATGCTTCAGGTAAGCATAGCCCCAGCCCAGTTCAGCTACCCTGGAGATGGCCCCCACAAGGGAGGGGTAAGGAGGGAGTTACAGGCAGAGGGAGTGGGCTCCTAAAGAACACTGGAGTTGCCGTGTTCCTGGTCTCTGCTCTGGGGAAAGTGGCAGCCTCTAGCATGAGCTTACTCCCACTTGGATCTCGCTGATTCTGCTTCATGCCTGGCTGGGGTGCCCAACTTCTGCTGACAATCTGATGTCCCTGTGCCCACATAGCAAGAGCCAGGGCCCAACAGGCAGGGGAGGGGCTGAAACCAGCTGCACTGGGAGAAATAAAATTGCTGGAACCCAGAGGCTGCAGCTGGACCTGCTTTTCCTCTTAGGGAGTGGCCCAGGTGGAGAGCTGATGGGGCTCAATGCCCAGCTCCTCAGTGGGTTACTCAGCCAGGCCCTCACTGCCTGTGCCAGTGCTATGGAGGGTAATGAACTCCAAAAATGGCCTAACTTGAATTCTGGAGACTTTGGCCTAAAAATGCCCTTTGTGCAGCCACCAAACCTCTAGGACTTGGCATCTTTGGCCTTTGCACCTCAAAACAAAGTACAGGCAGCTGCTGATGGAACTCATTGCCAAGTGTATGCAGGGGAGGGAGAAGTACACAAGACCTGTCTTTAGGACATCAGCTAGGCACCATCATCTGGACAGTGTTTTGGGCACAGAGGATACAATGCCCACTGGCTCCCTTGTGCCCTGATAGAGCTGTTACAAATCTGCCCTGATGGGGATGTGCTGCTCTGGTAGCTCACTTGGGGCAGTCTTGGGGGGGTGAGGTGGAGGGGAGGGCAAAGCCCAAGGCAGCCTTCAAGTCACCAGAGCCAGGTGCCCGTGTTGCCATGTGGTTCTCTCTGTCCTGCTGGCTGTCTGCACCTAGGAGTTTAGAAACTGTGTGGCCCCTGTGCATCATGTGCTAAGGCAGCAGGTCACCCTGTAAGAAGGGCTGAGGTGGGTCCCTCTGGTGACTGAAATACCAGCCCCATGTGGGGGTTTGGATTGTTGCTGGTGGACAAGTGTTTTTTAATTGTGCTAGAGCTGCAGCTGTGCTAAGGGCTAGGATGTGAACCTGGTGGGGAAGAGGTCTGCACTGCTAAGTCTAGCAGGGTCTTGGGATCATGCTTCCTGGGTTGCAGGTACAAACTGGGCAGCAACTCTCCTCTGCTCCAGATCCTGAAGCTTTCAGCCTGCTGACTTGTATGTGCAACTGGCTCTTGCACAAATGTACAGTGACCTGGAGATGCTTCCTGCGAGCTGCTCAGCCAAGCATGTACCTGCAGCCCCCAAGGCAGGGCCGGGCTCATCACAATGGGAGGCAGAGCAGAGTCCTGTGAGGCTGCAGTATTAAGCCAGGCTCCTGCCCCTCCCCTCTTCACTTCAAATTCTCATTTTTCAGTAGCTGCATTTTTAAGTGGTTGCAAAACCCAGGCATCTATTTTGGAAGCCGTGAGATTTTCTATGGAGCGTGTGAGACGGGAGATATTTTTGTGCTGAATAAAGCCTGTTTCTACTTTCATGCAGGTATTGGCTGCTTTCTCTGCTATGAAGGCCCCTGTAGCCAGGGCCAGCCCAGGCTGTGATGCTCCTAATCTGGCTTGTCTGGGTCTAGGCAAAATGGGAGGCAGGTGTCTGCTGGGCAGGTACTGGGAGGGGAGTTGGTCCTGCCACCAGCCCCAGGTGGCGTCTTTGTTCCAAAGTTTTGGCCTTAGCTTCTGCCACTGATGGCCTGGGAGCCACTAGGGCTGAGGGCTACATCCTTATGCAGGGAGCCAGTGACATTGCCTGCCCTGTTCCTGTCTCTTGCTCCCAGCTAAGGCAGAGCTGGATGAATGAGGAAACCAGATGGTGAGCACCACCCTACCCCTTGCATCCCACCATTGTTTAGTTCCAGCAGGCAGGGGACCATGCTGGCAGCTGCTGCATGGTTGCTCTGGAAAGCCAGGGGGGCACTACTCTGCCACGTGCCCTGGAGACACTGAGCTTCCCCATCTCTGTGCGCCCAGTGGAGCAAGGAGGGTGCAGGCTGGAGGGAGCCAGCAGGCCCTAGTGTGGGACACAGGTCAGTGTAACCCTGGGCCAGCAACTGAGGCTAACCTGCACCATCCCCTCTCTGTGCCCAGCTCAATATCTGGTGCAGCAAAGCAGTGCCATTTGTAAAGTCCATTGAGATGCAGAGCTCTTCTGCCAAAATGTCACTGCAGCATTTTGCCCCACATCCTGCTGGTACCTGTGGGCCAGAGATTCTGTCATATGGCACCAAGGCATACAAGTGCTGCTTTCCTGCTTAACTGGCAGCAGGCATGAGGTTGGGGCCCAATCACCACTGCTGCTAGGCACAGCCTGCTGCCCTCAAAGGCTTCATGACTGAGGCTACAGATTGAGGCTCCAGCCTTCCTGGAGAAGTTACAGAGGAAAGTTAAGACCTGGGCCTGGCTAAGGCTGCCCCAACTGGCCAAGAGAGATTCCTTGGGCCATGGCACTGAAGCTTGGAGCTGGCAAGAGATTCCCACAACTGAAATGAATGACAGGAACAGCTAGAGTGCCAGCTGCTGCTGCTGATTGCCTCTGGCCCCTTCTTGCCCAGACAAACTGGCTGGTTGCTTTTCCCTTCCCTTCCCTTTGCTGGCCTCAGTCCTTCCTTCCACCTGCTCTTGAAGTAAGTCCCCTCCTTAGTAAAAGCAAGGAGGCCCACTGTCCCTGGACTCGCTCACTCTGGGGGGTGTTCAACCTCCCTGGCCACATGGTTTCAGTCAGCTTTTGGGTGCAGAGCCTGTCTGTGCCTAGAACAAGCACCCCAGTTGCCAGCCTTAGTTGGTCCTTACCTGTAAACAGGATGAGTAATGTGCCTGCCCTGAAAACTGCCAAGTGGTGGCAGGGGGTGGTTTGAACATGACAGTTGTTCCATGGGTTGACTTGCTGCTGGCAGGGAAGCATCTGACTAATGCCTTTCAGCCTGCTGCCTTAAGCCTACCCTGTGGGGCCTGCATGGTGAGTAACAGGGAGTTCTGCTTCTGTCTGCTACCTTGGCAGATGTAGCTGGCAGCACATGGTGTGGGCTTCCTATGCCCCTTGGTCTTGCTGTCTCTGCCTCGTGCCTGTTCTTCCCCTGGCCCTCCCTTGGCCTTTTGCATTTCCTTCCCAAGTATGGTCAGATGAGCAGGCTGCCCTGCTGGCCATTCCCTGGAGGCTTTGCTGCCTGCTAAAAGGGTCCACACTGGAAAAGTGAATGCTTAAGTCTTTCCATTCACCTGTGAGCACTAACATGCAGCGTTAACAGGAGTGGCAGTGCTGGGAGCAGTTATGCTGGGGCATGGTTCAGGCTGCCAGTCCATGCAATGGATGCCACTGCATTCATCCTGCTTGGGCCATGGAAGAGCTGATCACAACTGGAAGGCATAGACACCTACTTAAAAGCCAGAGGACGCAGGCCCTGACTCTCCTGTGCAGCCTGCTGACCCATTTGTGGTACCCAAGCTGCCTGGCAACAGGCCTTCTGTGGCCTCATGTAGGTACCTGTGTGTATAGTGACAAGCATGTCACAAGAGGCTAACCTGCACCCAACCCAGTACCATCCAGCCAGCCTGTCTGATGGGTTTCTAAAGGCCACTCTGGCCTTGGGGTGCTGTGCTGAGTCCAGCCATCTCTGCCCTGCCTGAGCACAGCAGATTGCACCATAGCTGCAAGCAGCTGCTTGCAGCTTGAGGCAAAATAATTTCTGCTCTTTGGCCCTATCCTGCCTTCCCCAGGAGGTGTTTGGGAAGGGCTATGGCTGCTGGCCCTGAGCACGCTTACAGGCACCTGCTATTGCATGCGGTTGTGACAAGACTTCACAGCAGGCCCCAGCAGTCAGCCCCTGCTCCCCCACCTCCATTCCCAACACTCTTCTGGCTGCAGCTGCTGTCTCCTGGCCCTAGTCAGGCACTCCCACCCCTCAGGGGCAGATGCTATGTGTGCACTTCTCCCAGCAGCCAGTGCTGTGCAGCTTCATAGAATATTTTTTGCAATTGTAGAGTAAGAGCCTACCTGTAATCCATGAGTGGAGCATATGGCGCCGTGGAGGCTGTTCTTGGTTTGTCAGCACAGCATCCCCCCTGCACACCCTGCCCTGCTGGCTGGTTCACTCTTACCACAGGGAGGCTCTAAGGGCAGCCCTCAGTGTCTCTGCTGAGGTTGCCCATTGGAGAAGATGCTCCCAATAAGACAGCTGTATAGCATGGAGCTGAAGCCCCCAAACTCCTCATGTATCAGAGGCAACAAAGCCATTAAAAGGGAGCAAGTTTTGCATTCTTGATGTGTGACACACTAGTCCCCTACAGGTGCTCGCATGCCTTTCTGCCTTGTGCCACCCAGTGACAACCAGCAACCTCATACCTTGTCTACCAAAGCAGGTACTGAAGCCAACCAGCTGGGCCTATCTGTGGCTAACACAGGCAGGTTCAGCCCTCTGTTCACATGTGCATATGTCTACACGCAACAACCCTAATGCAAGTGCCTTGCTCTTTAAGAGGACAGCTCCCACCAACCAGGATCCATTCCCTGGAAGCTGGTCCCCCCTATCTTATGCCATCCCCTGCCCTCCCTCCCTACCTGGTACAGGAAATGCCACCCTGTACATTCCCCACCCAGCACATCC